GCCTAGGGCCACGGATATTTGATGAATTATGACGAATTTTTATTACTTATTTGATAGGCATCGAGTTACTATAATATGACTTCATGTAGGCTATGCTTTCTAATGTTGAAATCAGCTTCCAAAACCAAAACATTTTGAATAAAGCAAGAAACAAAGAGATTATGCAATGTATCCATCTAATTTATTTTCAAATCCTCATTCTTGAAAGTGAAATTCTATATTTTGGAAATTTTGCATGAAATCTGTCAACCACGCTTTAATGGTCGAGGTTACTTCACCTATCACGATGCATTCCAACCATCACGAGGCTATCTAAATGAGCATTTGTCATAACAGAACGCAAATTATTTTTAATTAGTCTCATTGAATTATTATTATTATTATTGTTATTGTGGTTGTTGTTGTGATGAAAACACAAACGATATGGTGGCTAAACGAATATTACATGTAAATATTTTTTTTTATTTGTTTGTTCCCCGACAAAATTTATCGTCTTCCTCGACGGAGGGGGGGGGGGCTATAGCCCCCCTCTGGCGCCACCACTGGGACTTCCAGCGGCCTAGCCTGAGCAGCTGGCTAGTTACAAATAGAGCACCGCCCAGCGGATCGCGCCGCTAGACCTTTGCTATAGCCGCAGTAGACAACACATACCATGCTAATTACTGTATATGTAAATAGCTTTTTAAGACTTAGACTTGTATTTAATATAAACATTTTGTTCTTTTTTCGTTTTAAAATATTCATGCTCATTAATAATTTAGTTTTATCGTTTAATTATTCCATGATAGTAACTACGGAGAGTGAAATGCAAGAGCTCTGGAAGTCCCCCAGTGGTGGTTGGCATTCGAAAATTTTCATTTCAAATTTGGCGAACATTTTGTATACGACGAGCGAGCTGAGGCCTACAAGTATGGGATCTTTAACAGAAAAAAATGTTTATTTTTTAAATTAAAAAAAAAAAAACACGATTTTAAAATTTAAATCATTATTAAATGTATTCGATAATGCATGTATTTTGTCAACATAATGGTAATTTGAAGTAAAAAGTGATTGGTGTATTTTCTTCCAGAGTTTGTTCAGAATTTTGATTTTGAGAGTAAACTGAATAAACATATCGAAAAATAATTCAATAGATACTGAATAAAGGAAAACATTTTTCCCCCACGAATGGCAGTTAATGCCTTAATGTCGGAATGAAAGCCTTTCCAACTATTGTTGATTTTGTAAGCCCTGTTGAAGAATGTACCAATAGGCCTAAGACTAATTTTGTAACTGAACGAACAGAAACTAAACACATTTGTAAGTAATCCATTATATGATTTTTTTCCTAAATTCTGATCTCCATCCTTTGTACAAGAGTCCAAAAAAGAGGAAGCTTTTTGCCCCCTTCTTTTTCCATAGTAAATTTATTTATACATTTTCAACAACTTAAGGTGTATAATAAAATAAAACGAATAGTTGGCTTATAGGGCAATGATACCTCTTTTGGTACAACAACAAAATATCGGTTCACTCTAGACTATTTGTTAATAAAATAAATATATTTTTTTACGAAAATATAAATAGCTTTTGAACCATTCTAATCTATTTTTATTGTACACCATTTTTAACAAAAAAGAATCTTGTTATTTAATGTATCGACAGAAAGGAAACATGCACCAATGTACTAATAGTACTGTGTAGTAACTGTTGTAATAGTAGTAATAGTATTTTATACGGTAATCATCGTGATCACAGTTATGGCTACAAGTTATCCAACACGATTAATTACAGTGCATCATTACATTTTATGGACCTATTACAGATTACAGTAAGCATTGTGATTACAGTTATACCAGGCCATCTAAATACGTCTGAATCGCTCAGACCCTATTAGTGCCAAGAGGAGATTGCTCCCCTTCTATAGTAGGTTTTACATTTTAAAATTTTTCCATATTCTTCTCTTACGTTTATTACACCATATATATAT